GTTTACTTTTGTCACTTTCCATGGTCCAATAACGTTGTTTCTATACGTTTCCAACATATCGTTTTCATTTATTGTATTGATATTTAATTTTTTTGCTACACCAGCATTATTGATCAACATATTCAAACCTTTACCACTTAATTTTCCTTCAACTTCAAACTTGGCATCTTTGATGCTTTCATCATTCGTAATATCTAAAACGAGGACAAAAACTATCGTGAGTTTTTATACAAAATGTTAAAAAAGCATGTACGAACCTAATCTAACTGGAATGACATTCTTTTTCGATTGTCCTAGTTCAAGTAATTCCTAGAATTGAACTCGTAATATTAGAGCACTCGAAGGTGATGTCAAATCCAATACCTTGGATTCTTCTGGTTTTCTGTATCCAGCAAAAATATAGTCTGGCTTTAGTTCAGAGCTTGACGCCAGATAGTTAACAATGCCCAATCCAATCCCACGATTTGCACCTGTAATTAATATACTCTTCATCTAAAAACAGATGTATTACAATGATTTATGCCATTCAAATATATAGTAATCAATTCATATAATTCCTTATCCAAAATTTTCAGAACATCTGCAATTTTTGCTAATTTAGTGCATACATGTAGAAAATTACATTACAGAAAATGAAGCATAAAAAAATGACAAAACATATGACATTATGAAATGACATTTCTATACTGTAGAAAGACGGTTAATCTGACTAACAATCTTGAACAGTTGGATGCAATTTAATCGATTTTCTGTAATATTTGTTTTAATTCGTTTATTATCGATTCAGGTAGTGTCTTTTCACGACTAAAAGAACACAAGATCATACTACCATTAGGAACAACAATAAAACTGACAATTAGCCAGTCTTTCAGTAATAATATTTTCTAGTTTAACTAAATCTAACTGACGCAAGTATCCAAGCAAGCCCAAGTTCGAAACCAAGTCCACATGCATACACTAAATTGTATTCCTTATAGTTCGTTGTTAAAACATTGTAGTCTACAATGACACCTAATAACGAGCAATTGAATAACCTTTTGGTTAAGAAAATTAAACAATCAAATCACACCTCTTGAAAATACAAACGCCTGCTTTCAAATTTCTTCCCAGAACTGCTTATAGATATAAATTTTTCGTTCACAACCACCCGTTTAGTATCCCAAATCTTTTTTTCATCCATCAATGTATTAAACTCATAATCAGCAATGATCTATTCTAGCTCTATTGAATTTTGTGTTCTTGGATTCTTGTTTTCGAGAAGCGAACAAGCAAAGAATAACATTTTTTCATATCGTACATATGAGACTTTTTTCTTGTCTTACATATATTTTTGTTTTCAGCATTCATTTCATTTTCAAACATTACAGAACGATCGTAAATTAAATGTGATTGTTTCGAAATAAGTACATTTAAAAATGCCAAAAAAGCAACGTAGTTATTTACACGAAATAATACTATGTCTTATAAAAGATTTATCATATCTAATTCGACTACTATCAGAGAAGGGGTATTGCTAAAAGACGCGAACACCCACGAACAGCTACGAACAGCCACGAACACCCCCAAATTAAAATCTGAGTTAGCCAATCGATAGAGCTCGTCGAGCTGAGTATAGCAACGTCTAACGAACAC